TCCTTAGTCGATTTATCAATTGTAACTGCACATCATCTTGAAAATAACTCTAAAAATAAACACACAATGTCAATCTACAATAGATTTAAAGGGCTTTATATCACTATCATATGACTGATCTAAATACAATTACTTCTCCTCATTGAATTATGTTTAATGATTTATTATGTTTGTCCTGTTATTTTCTAATTGTTTTATTATTCAAGTTAAACCACAATGGTCTAAAACTGATAATCCTTAATTGACCGAGTTGCTAGTATAATAATTCTACAATTAGCACTATTTTATTCTCTGTATTTTTGTAATAATTTGTCTGTAAATTGTTAACAATGAAGGCAGTGGCTGCAAATCATGATTTGTATTCAACCATGAATGAATAATAATAAAAACGGTGCTTATAAAGTGCTTAACACTCATTATTATAAAAAGGCCTACATGTTAACCTATTCAAAACTAGTCTTAAGACACATTTATTCAGAATTGCTTTCGCTGATTAATTAACTCTGTTCACTGTATTGTAATTTCTATTTGCAATTGTTTGTTTTGTTAAATAGGTGATTGTTTATCAGTCTATTTTGTTTATATAGCGCTTAGAGACTTCGGAGGTAAGCGCTTTATAAGTAACGTTTTTATTATTATTATTATAATGTTGAATGTATCTGTACCATACTGTATGTTGAGGATCAGAAGAGGAAGTACACACTGAATGATATAACACCCTGCTGGCTCCAAACAGATGATCTACATGTCTATCTCAAAGAAAAGTCAAGGTACATTTTGTACATGTACACGTATGGGCAGTTCCAGCATTACGCCCATTTTATTTCAGAGAATAATTGAAACTCCAGAAGGTCACTCCAACAACAACTAAAAATTGGTTATTCTGAACTCGTATATTGGAATCACAACGAATAACCATGAAGTATAAACAGTGAAAGCTTCAAATGGTTCTTTCAAATAGTTTGATACAAAACTTCTTCTTTTTTCCATAAAAAGACCCATTTTTTTTCCAGTAGGCCTCCGCACTATAAATCAGATTAGACTATCTAGTGCTCCATGATTCATCCTAACAATACAAAGCTATGGGGCCTACATGTTCATGTACTCACTACTGTAGTGTAGTGCTGTGCTTTGTTGGGGGAGATACAATATAGCCTGGGTATAGGACAATAAGGGGTTTTCAAACTTTTTCTGTGACAGTCCAAATGTGATTTCCATCATGAAAGCTAAAGGTTGAAACAAGGGGGCAAAATTACGCAAATGTCTATGATATACATGTACATATTATGTTCTGTATCTTAATTTAAAGATTTAAAACAGAAACAGTCGAACACTGAAGATATGGTACACATGTGTATATCAGTGGGGGAGGGGAGGGAAGGGAGGGGAGGGAGGGGATGGGAGGGAGGGGAGGGGAAGGGGGGGACAATGTTCTCCAGTAAGAAGCTGCTCAAAACCTTGGCACAGAATGGAGTGATTGCAAGAGGAATCAAAGCCATTGATGCAAAATGTATGTTCAGACATTCTACTATGTACTCCTAAAAATTAAATTGTTTAAGGTCTTCATTGAAGGGTCACGGTCAGAACTTTGAGAAGCCTTACTATAGGGCCTACTGTACATATGTACAGATTTTGGGTCACACAGTTTTAAAGTTGAGTCAAGAGCACATCTGTTGGAACCAAGAAGGCAGTATTAAAATTGTATGATAAAGCATAAAGGCAATCTGGCTCCAAACTGAAGATAAATTGATGGGATACCAACTCATGCACCAACTTTCAATGTTGGGCAGGCGTAACATTGGCATGATGATGGTGCAACAGTGAATAAGTGTCCAGTGTCCAAAGACTCCACAGGGCAAAATAATCTGTTCATTTCATTTTATTTCATTTATTTTCCACATTCCATTAAAAAAAAAAGTTGGAAATAGAAGGGCATAATCACTGTGTATTAATTATACAAGTTCACGCCCTTCTGGATCCAAACTGACCTAATGTCAGGTCACCAACTTTTAAAGCAGAGGCAAATTGCAGATGCAATACACGAGCATGACAAAAGAACAGCAGTGCAACATGACAGGGCATGACATGACTTTGTTTACTAGCCAGGCCATGAATGTTGCGCAATATCACATGACAATGTTGACATCTTCATATTGTGCATGTGGGTTGGTCCTCATCGGCTCTCTCCTCAATGTGAATCATGTACATGATCCATTACATGTATGTCCTCAAAGAGGGAACACATGTGTTGTACATGTACAGTGTATGTAAAATGTAGGACCTATTTTGCGCTTGTTTGTTTGGTTTGGTTCATCCTCAACAATGTTGTTACGATTTTTGTACACATTCCTCAATTTTATGGCAAAACAAAATGTAAAATGCATCGTTGATTTATCAAAATCAAAATCAAACAATGACTGCCTGTACTGTAAATGTATAGAAGCAATTCTGAGAAACCCTGGTAAATAAATGTACATGTATGCATGTATGCATGTTTACAAATTCCTCAATTTTGTGGCAAACAAAATCTATAATGCATTGCTGATAAACGAAATGAAAATCAAACATTAACTGTGTGTACTGTATGTGTATTAACAGCATTTATCTGTGGATAGAAGAAAAAATTCTGAGAAGCCCTTGTACACTGTAGATATGACATAAGATGGCATAGAGCGTACACATCTACATCTATAGTATAAGCCTACATTACACATGTCTGTTCGACAGCCCCTTCGCAACTGGGATATAAATAGCACACCTCTCTCTCTCTCCGGCTGGCTCGAGACTGAAACCCTACTTGAAGCAAGCTGGGGATTCCCTGCTCATGAAGCAATACAACTTCCCATACTATGAAACAAAAGTAATAATTACCTGCAGTATGTTCGGACACTCATCAAAAATTCCCTTTTTTATGCATAGGCTGCTAATCAATCTTGCAATATTTCATTATATTAAATCAGGGCTTAAGCTTTTATCTATTTTTATGTGCATGTATGACTTCCCATACTATGAAACAAAAGGAATAATTACCTGCAGTATGTTCGGACACTCATCAAAAATTCCCTTTTTTATGCATAGGCTGCTAATCAATCTTGCAATATGTCATATTAAATCAGGGCTTCAGCTTTATCTAGCTTTTATATCTAGCTTAAATGTACGACTTCCCATAATTTGTATTCCTCAGATCAGGGACCCGTTTCACAAAGCCTTTTTTCAATGACAAATGACAAAAATCAGTGACAAATCTGCTGATAACCAATCAGAAGCAAGGATTTCAGTAGCTTATAACAAAAACTGTCATTTGTCACTGATGACAAGTTTTGTGAAACGCTCCCCTGCTCGTCTGTTCACAGCCAGGAGGGTGTTAACTCTGTGCTGAAGTATACAAGAAAATGCCCTTCTAGCTAAAAACAGGCAATATTTCCTTTTCATCAAATCTGTACATACAGTACATTGTACATGCCCTGCTGAAAAGATCTACAGTAATTGACTTTTACCGGTACTTTTTATGAAATGTAAAGAACTGAACAGGGGGGCGTTTCACAAAACTTGTCATCAGTGAAAAATGACAGTTTTTGTTATAAGCTACTGAAATCCTTGCTTCTGATTGGTTATCAACAGATCTGTCACTGATTTTTGTCAATTGTCATTCAAAAAAGGCTTTGTGAAACGGGTCCCAGGATGGACAAGCAATGGGATTCAAGAACACAATAATGTCACTGGTTACATTCTATTGATTGTCTACACAAGCATTCTTTTTTTCCCACATGTACATGAACATGTAATTGGATCATCTTCCTATTGTAATGCAATCACCATGTTTAGATATTGCGATAGCGAGGCTAACAACATTTTATACACATTTAATTTCAGAAATTGATATATGTGACCTTTGAGTGACCTTTAAACTACTTCCCTTACATCTAATGAAACTGTCTTCCTATGGTGATACAAAAGTATCACCAAGTTTGAGGCTAATACCTCTAATTGTTCATAAGATATAACGACAACAAGGCTACTACTACAAGCTGATATTTCCTAAGTTGACCTCCTGGTCATCTTTCTATGGTGATACATACTACCATGAAGTTTTAAATTCATATCTCAAATGGTTCTTGAGATATCGCGATAACGAGAAAGCGGGACGGACGGGAGGACAACCCCAAAACATACCTCCGGCACTCCTTTGGTGGGCATATAACTGATCATTATTGTACATGTTTTAGACAATAAGGAAGCATAAGGAAGCAGAAGGAACCAAATGCAAATTGAGTTACATGTACTTACATTGTATTTATCAATAACTGAACCTTGCTACCGTGTTCATTTTGTTATGCTTCAAATCCTCTAATACATGTACCTGTAAAGGTGCTTCTTTTAACTGTTATTCTGGGTGGTATTTGGAGCTGTTATCCCTACAACATTCTATTTTTTCTTTACAGAATAATTTGTATTTCTGAGATTACTTTTTATCTCAGATTTTATCTTTCATTTGATCTCAATCTCTACTTCTCGTGTACCCATTAAACATGATATGCACAGCTTTAACGATAATGCCCATCTTATTTTATGTGAATGATTTATACAAGTTAAAACAAGTTAAAATGAGTTAGGCGATGTTTCATCGATCAGATGGACATTAGATCCACAATGAACATGTATGATGTTAGTGCGACATTTATTTCAAAGTATACTGCTAGTCGAGTGATCAAAATAAACACAAAATACTAAGAACAGACTAAATTATCAAGTAACATTCTACTAGGGTTATTGAGTTATATTTCAAAGATTTGTGTGACCTTTGTCCTACTTGAAATGATGCTTGTACTTTGTAGGTTGTAATGCTGTTCAGAATTAACTCGTATGAGACTACATCACAGGTACAATTACAAATGCACATTTAATTGTAAACAAGTCTCTTTTAAAGAAAATCCTAGCAAAATCTTGTTTACGTTTTCAAGTATCCGTAGTGAGAATTGTAAAAAAAAAATTGCACTTACTCTCGTCGCCCTCTTGACCAAAAGACCGTGTTGATGCTATTGGATGAACATAAAGAAAGTGAAATCTAACAACATTTCTTAGAATGTGTGGTTGCATCACAAACGGGCGTGTCTTACTCTTAGTGAGATAAAATCTTGCTGAACAGTTTAAGAAAGATTATTTTATTTTATCTCACAAAATACTTCCTGCAGGCCCACACAATGAAGACAAACTTGCACACAGTTCAACAACAATGTCAACAGTCAACATGGACAACTCCTCAAAGAGATGTCACTCAAATTTAAGTCAAACTGTGATTGTGAAGACAGTCTTTGAGTTTGATGTTGTCTTTATTTTACCAGGTAGATAGATGAACTGAACATTGCTTTCAATAATAACCAGTCAACTCTGTTATTTCTACACACACCATTTTATCTGTAGATCTATGTCTATCACATTATATTCATCAATCTTAACACAGCTTATTTTCATGACATTACATTTCACATGTAGAATCAGATCCGTACTTTATATTTATCCCTGTCGCTGCATTGAATTTCAGCTGCGATCCAATAATTGACCTCGATAGTGCAATACGATTTGTGTGGAAACCAGTGGAAACAACCGGCGAACAACATTGCGAAAACATTAGTAATTTAAGCTGAATTCGCCCTAAAATATATTAACTGATGGTTTCTTTCTATTCTAAAACATCTCTTCTTGGTGGCTATACATAGATTTTATATTGTCAGGTCTCTTAATTCATAAAATTAAGCCGGTTTTACATCGTATACCGGCTCGCAATTTCTCATATTCAGCCATTTTGTTTTGAGCTCGTCATGACAGTACGGAAACGTATGCTGTGCTATGCGGTCGCTGTCGGAACTGAGTTTACGGCGAAAAATGTCGGTAGAAAAAAGCAACGACAAGCACGGAAACGATCACAGATGGAGGAGAATATACTGAAAAGGTAATATAGGGGTAAATTTTAATTCTAAGATGAGTTTTACCTTGGCCCTGGGGCTGTTCCTCCGTACTATCCCGATCCGACATCTCGCCTTCCAGGATTATCTGTACTCGCCCTCAATATGCCGACGATTCCTGCTATCGACCCTCAATGAATTATACACAAACTCAATGGGCCAACATTACCGATACCAGGGCAGCCCTTTACTTGCAAAAGCCTTACGCTCAGACAATGAAGCCTCCACCCCTATTGATAATTCACCAGTCCAAATGATATTATTAGAGCGACGAATGTTACGCCCATTTTCATTGGTTCAAGTGCGTAGAAATGTGAATAAATTTCAATGGCAAAACTTTCTCCGTCTAAGAAGAAATTTCATTGGTTGTTAAGTATCATTGTTGACATAATTATACTAGAGCAAGTTCACGTGAGGTCGGCCCCTCGGTTGTATATGTCGTAATACTTTTGCAACAACACAACAAGAAAAACGTCGCAAGTGTTTAGTGAACTGGTAACTTTATTGACTTTTATTGCTTCTACAAAACTAAAACTTTTGATTCATGCGCTCAACATTCAACTTTTCGTTTAATTCCCATCGCATAGAGTCTACGGGCATAACTAACATTGGTGAGGACCTTCGTAATTCTCTAGTTTTATTTTAAACTAAGTTAAAGTTTAACTTTTAAAGTTTAAAATAAAAACCTAAAGTTAAACTTGTCTAACAATGTCAATACTATTGTCTAGACTAAAGCAAGTTTATTTAGATGAGACTGGCAACTGAATAGTATTAGTAGACTATTAGTATAAATACTATCTTATGAATAGTCTATGAATTGAGTATGAAATCTTCATTGTTATTTTTTTTGTTGAAACTTACTTTAGATCTACTCTAGATCTAGATCTAGATCTAGTCTAGGGCCTAGGCCTACTACTGACTTTTAGTTTTATCAAATTGTAAAGTCAAAATCTGAGTCTAGACTAATTACTGCGAGTGCAAATGTGACGGGTTAGGCCTAACGTTAGTACTAGATCTAGTAGTAATAGCATGACTAGATAAGCGATAGCTTAGCCTTGGTTTGCCCAGGGTCTAGCTAGATCTAGTAGACTATTATTAATATTTGAATCTAGACTAGACAGTAGACTCTAAGCTAGAAAATCTAGGCCTATTACTAGTATTAAAACAAAAACTGGCGCTAGGCCTAGCGAGAGTCTACAAATTCATCACTCAGAAGAAAAAATCCTGACCTTGGTGGACTCTCATGAAACTAAAAAACTCCTTTCTCCTTTCTTTTGGGCAAGGTTTTCTTCCTTTCCTTTTTTCCGTCATTCAAGAGTCAAGTGAAATATAGAAACTGTGGTCTACTCTAACTTAAAACTGTTGAAATTAGAAATGCTTGGGCTAGGCTAGGACCATGTTGATGATCTAGTTTTTGGCTCAACTCTAACTGCTGAAATTTAATTCAATTAAATTTTGATTTTCCTTTATCTTTTCTTTTTTCTCTGACCCTGTATACATGCCATCAGAGAAATGCCTTGGTCGAGTCTCGTGTAGCTTTGTGAAACTGCAGAGTCTCCCTTTTCCCCCCTCCTTTTTCCCCTTCCAAGAGTAAGAGTAAGAGTAAGATCTCAACTCAAGATTCAAGTAAGTCGAACATAATTGTAGACCTGACCATGTGGTCTCACTGTTGAAATTAGAAATGCTTGGGCTAGGATCTAGTTTTTACTCTTTGGCCTTAGAAGTTTAACAATTAAATTTAACTAAACATTTAAGAAGATTTTCTTTATCTTTTCTTTGCTCTGACCCTGTACATGCTGTAGATCGACCAGATGCAGTATTCCAACTTCATCGGTGATCACATCCCCTGTCGTTACAAGTCGTTGATAGAGGAGAGCTCCCTCAAGCAGCTCTCGTTTGCCAGTGACGAGAAGGCGAAGGTCAAACCTGAGTTTATCGCAGAGATCAGGAGCCGAGTTGTACCTAAAACAGGTTTGTGTGTAACTTGTAGGCCAGACCTTTAAAAAACTTTCCTTCCCTTGTTTTGACTCAAGTATGCAGATTTAAACTAGATCCACTTTTGAGTTCTGGAGCAATGAGGTTTCTTCATTGTAAATTTATTCCCTGCAATATAGTCATAACAATTTACTAATGAAGAAAGAAAAGTACTTTAAACTTCATTTTCAACTCTTGAAAGTTTGTTTTGAATGAGGATTGCTCTGAATTTCAAGGCCAAATAACACAGCTTGATTTACCTTGCTTTGTTTATGTTACTTCATAATACAGTACTTGTAACTTCTTTTTTGTTTTGCTTTTACTATTTTTTTATTTTTTATTTATTTATTTATTTATTTATTTTTATTTTTTTTGGGGGGGGGGGGGGAATTATTTTGTTGTTGTTAATGATTTAGATGATTTCTTTGTGAGGTTAACTGAACAATGACTTCTTCCTTCATATCTTTTTCACAGTTAAGAGCAAGACATGTGTAGAAGGAGACTTGAAAGGTAATACTGTCATTAATCCATATCTGCCACTCTCCACCAAGTGATAGATTGGTATAAGAAGCCACCTCTGCTATCATTAGTTTTTATGTCATTGGTGTATCTTGATAATCTAAACCAAAATATATCTTCAGTAGTAGTCGTTTTGGATAACTTTAGTAGAAGGTCAATTAGATTGAGGAGGCACAATGGCTCAGTGGCAGAGCAGTGGTCTTGTAGCGGCTAGGTCCTGGGTTCAAAAGCTAGTTAATGCCCTCTTGTTCTTTTGTAAGGCATTGATCCTCATTACCAAGTCCTTCAGAGAAGACTTAAAGCAGTGGGTCCCCTGGTTGCTTTGATACTTACAAGCATACACATGCTTTCTTTTTTTAGCAGACAGGGGGGGGGGGGTGCAAATAGAACCTGATATGTGAGTTGTAACCTGTTCAAGTAATGCCATTCACATTAATGCTCAAGTCTAAAGCAAAAATTATCGATGACAGAATATCCCCCAAAATAATTATATTAATACACATAATGCTCTATTTCAGAAGTAATAAATTACTTTTGAGTTTCATACACTCCAATAATTTGTTTACGACAAATGTATTTTCAACCTATCAAACTTTCAATTCAATTCATTTCAATTCAAACAATGTTATTTCCTTATAACTCAATAAAAAAATGAGCAAAATTGTTACATAAAATTGATATAAAAAAGCCATATTTACCCAGCGAGGTACATGTAAGTCAAATTGTGTTAGTTTGCTCGTCAGCCTGATAAAGATAATAATATTGATATTATATGGCAAGAATAGATTGCTCTCGCTATGACAATATTGGACTTGTCTCTGACTCGTTCAATAGTGTCAAAGCTCAAGCAATATATTCTTGTATCACACTCAAAGCCATCCAATATTATATAAATATTAAATGTCTATGAGTAATTCATTGATTGTTGATTTTAACAGGGAGCTCCACCAAGAGGAGACAAGGAGAAGATGGATCCACCAGGAGCATGTCTTTACAGGAGATTTTTAGAATCCTCAAACGAGGAGATAAATTTACAAGAGTAAGTATTATTCAAGTACAGTGAAACCTGTATCAATGAAAGCTGCTTCAGCAATCACCCGCCTATAAAAGACCACTCTTCTTGTTTGTTGAGCGGTCTTTAAATAGAGATTTCAATGTATGAAGTCCACTCAAGGGAAAAATAAAAAGTGGGCTCTACATGTATGTACATCTTCATTTAAGACAAGTTTCAATGAGAAACCATATTAAAGGGAAACAGATATGTGATCTTTCTATACAGGTGGTCACTAAAGCAGGTTTGACTTATTATCTTGAGTACTGGGATAGTTGGATTTGTTTTGCTTGCTTCTTTTCATAAAATGAATGTGACAATATGGGTTGTTCTTGAAGTTGATAAGTAACGTCTAGGGTATATGTCTGTTTTACTTTGTTGATCATTCTGAAGCGTTGTAGAGACTGATCAATACAATTCAGAGAAGATATCAACTTTATTTAATGTAAGGGAGAAGAAAAAAAATTCATATTTCCATGTATGTACCTATGGCTTTCTTTTGCTTTTTAAAAGTACAAACACCAGTTTGTGTAGGGCACAAATTATCTTCTAAATGATGAACTTTGTGCACGATTTTAGTCTATCCTATGCATGCATGGAATAGTATGTCAATATCTTATGAAGATAAACAGACATGTACATTACATGTATCTTGGTCTTGTTCAATCCTTTCATGTAGGGCATATATATCAAATAAAATAACCTTTGCATGGCCAAACTAATCATAGGAAATAGTTTGTCTTTGGAAAAATGTTGAATAAATATGTCCATATCTAAAGAAGATTGCTTAGTTCTCTCCATCTAGTTCCAGCGTTTTATGTAGGGTAACTGTTTTCAAATACCTCTTTGATTTAGTTAACCTTATCAAATAAACTATGTTGACTAGGGAATATATACAAATTAATTATTAATGATTCTGAGGTGGATGACCATGTTAATATCTTATGAAGACAACATAGTTTTCCAAATCTTTTGTAAAGGTATAGTGCTAGCCTATTTATAAACAGGGTGCCAGTATTCAAATACCTCTGATAAATGATAGACTTTCCCAAGAAAATTAGCCCACCCAAGAAACCAATCGAATCATTGATGACATTAAAGTAGTCAAAACGCATGGAAGTTATTGGAGACTTGGCTAGTCGATCTGGGTTCTATAAGGAAATGCTATATCTTTGAATCATATGCATGTACATGTATACCCCGGTAGTCAGTTACAATATAATAGCAGGTAGAAAGTTGATAAAAGATCCAGCTTCAATTTTGACAAAAAAGGTTTCAGGATTATTAAAGAAAATAATAGGTTAACATCTTCTAAAGATGAACCAGGGCCCTGTTTTATAAAAACCTGTCATCAATAAATAGTTACAATGACTGTTATAAGCTACTGAAAGCGTGGAATAGACTGCCTTGTAATGTCAACCATTTCATGAAAAGAGTTTACAGAAATGCATTCCTACTTTATGGTTAACCGTGTATATTCACAAGATGCACATGTATCTATTGTAATCACTATTATTCCTTTTCCACCATATATGCACAAGATGCAATTTATGTTTCTATTGAATTCACTATTATTCCTTTTCATCTGTAGATGTTCAGAGGGTGGAAGCTTTGTT